AGGTGGGACCCCACGGGGTGGTGACGGTGGGTTGTCCCGCCGTGGGGCAGGAAGAAGTTGGCCCAGAGGCTTCAGGAGGCCGAGGAAGCGGTGGAGGCCGTCAACGCCAAGTGCTCCTCCTTGGAGAAGACCAAACACCGGCTGCAGAACGAGATCGAGGACCTCATGGCCGACCTGGAGAGGTCCAACGCCGCCGCCGCCGCCCTGGACAAGAAGCAGAGGAACTTCGACAAGGTGGGGTTGGGGGTCACCAAGAGAAACGGGGGTTTTGGGGGGGAGAAGAAGGGGTTGGGACGTGTGGGGCCCACCAAAGAAGAAGCCAAGAAGAACGATGGTCAACGGTGGGAAACGGTCGGTGATGGCCAATGGTCAACGATGGCCAATGGTCAATGATGGTCAATGGTCAATGATGGTCAATGATGGTCAATGATAGTCAATGGTCAACGATGACCAATGGTCAACGATGACCAACGGTCAACGATGGTCAATGGTCAACGATGGCCAATGGTCAACGATGGCCAATGGTCAACGATGGTCAACGATGGCCAATGGTCAATGATGGTCAACGATGGTCAATGGTCAACGATGGCCAATGGTCAATGATGGTCAACGGTCAACGATGGCCAATGGTCAATGATGGTCAATGATGGCCAATGGTCAACGATGGTCAACGATGGTCAATGGTCAACGATGGTCAACGATGGTCAACGATGGTCAACGGTCAATGATGGCCAATGGTCAACGATGGTCAACGATGGCCAATGGTCAACGATGGTCAATGATGGTTAATGGTCAATGATGGCCAATGGTCAATGATGGTCAACGCTCAACGATGGCCAATGATGGCCAATGGTCAACGATGGCCAACGGTCAATGATGACTAATGGTCAACGATGGTCAACGATGGTCAACGGTCAATGATGGCCAATGGTCAACGATGGTCAACGATGGCCAATGGTCAATGATGGTCAATGATGGTCAATGGTTAACGATGGCCAATGGTCAATGGTGGTCAATGGTCAATGATGACCAATGGTCAACGATGGTCAACGATGCCCAATGGTCAACGATGGCCAATTGTCAACGATGGTTAACGATGGCCAACGGTCAATGACGACCAATGGTCAATGATGACCAATGGTCAACGATGGTCAACAATGGCTAATGGTCAACGATGACCAATGGTCAACGATGGCCAATGGTCAACGATGGCCAATGGTCAACAATGGCCAACTGTCAACGATGGCCAAAGGTCAACGATGACCAATGGTCAACGATGGTCAACAATGGCCAACGGTCAACGATGGTCAACGGTCAATGATGACCAATGGTCAACGATGGTCAACGATGGTCAATGGTCAATGATGGCCAATGGTCAACGATGACCAATGGTCAACGATGGTCAACGATGGCCGATGGTCAATGATGGCCAATGGTCAACGATGGTCAACGATGGCCAATGGTCAACGATGGTCAACGATGGTCAATGGTCAACGATGGTCAACGATGGTCAATGGTCAATGGTCAATGATGGTCAATGATGGCCAATGGTCAACGATGGTCAATGATGGTTAATGGTCAATGATGGCCAATGGTCAACGATGGTCAATGATGGTTAATGGTCAATGATGGCCAATGGTCAACGATGGTCAATGATGGTTAATGGTCAATGATGGCCAATGGTCAACGATGGTCAATGATCCTTAGATCTTGGCCGAGTGGAAGCAGAAGTTCGAGGAGTCGCAGACGGAGCTGGAGGCCTCCCAGAAGGAGGCCCGGTCCCTCAGCACCGAGCTCTTCAAGCTGAAGAACGCCTACGAGGAGGCCCTGGAGCGCCCAATGGTCAACGATGGCCAATTGTCAACGATGGTTAACGATGGCCAACGGTCAATGACGACCAATGGTCAATGATGACCAATGGTCAACGATGGTCAACAATGGCTAATGGTCAACGATGACCAATGGTCAACGATGGCCAATGGTCAACGATGGCCAATGGTCAACAATGGCCAACTGTCAACGATGGCCAAAGGTCAACGATGACCAATGGTCAACGATGGTCAACAATGGCCAACGGTCAACGATGGTCAACGGTCAATGATGACCAATGGTCAACGATGGTCAACGATGGTCAATGGTCAATGATGGCCAATGGTCAACGATGACCAATGGTCAACGATGGTCAACGATGGCCAATGGTCAATGATGACCAATGGTCAATGATGGCCAACGGTCAACGATGGTCAACGATGGCCAACGGTAAACGATGGCCAATGGTCAACGATGGTCAACGGTCAACGGTGGTCAATGGTCAATGATGACCAATGGTCAACGATGGCCAATGGTCAATGATGGTCAACGATGGTCAATGGTCAACGATGGTCAACGGTCAATGGTGGTCAATGGTCAATGATGACCAATGGTCAACGATGGCCAATGGTCAACGATGGTTAACGATGGCCAATGGTCAACGATGGCCAATGGTCAATGATGGTCAACGATGGCCAACGGTCAAGAACGATGACCAACGAAGCTCCACCTTCCACTGGAGCTTCCAGGAGCTCCTTGGGGTGGAGGAAGAAGAGGAGGTTCTTGGTGGTG